CGGAGGAGCTGGACGAGGTGGACGCCGCGGAGGCCGAGGCGGAGCTGGAGAAAGCTCAGGGCCGAGCTGGAGCGCTGCCAGGAGGAGGACAGAAGCACGCTGGAGGGTGCCGACCAGAAGAGGCAAGAGGTGGAGCGGGTGTGCGCCGAGCTCTACGAGCAGGCCGGGCAGAAGGCCGCGAAGCTCAAGGAGGGCGCGGACCAGGCCAGGGCGCGCGAGGAGTGCGATCAAGAAAAGGAGTCGGCGAGGAGGCAGGCCAGGAGGAGGCCACGGCAACGGCTGCAGTGGCGGCTAGCGCGGGCAAGCAAAGGACCCAGGCAGCGGCGGCGGCAACAGCAACGGTAGCCAAGGAGGAGCCCGTGGTGGAGCTGGACGAGAGAACCAAGCTCAGGCGCAGGGCAACGGCTCTGGCAGAACTCAGGCAGATGCTGACCAGAAGCGGCTGGGCATGCAGGACTCCGCGGACGGAGGCAAGGGCGGCAAGCACGGCAAGAAGGACAGGAACGGCAAGGCTGGGAAGAGGGCTGCAGGCGGCGCTCCTGCTGGTGGGTAGCGTCACCATCGCGACGGGAAGCCCAGCGGAGAGCCAGGAGGAGCTGCGGGCCGTCGGGTTTGACCCCGCGGTGGAGCTGCAGCACGTGAGCGGGCGCGTCGAAGGTGCGCTGCTCGGGCCTGGAGGACAGCCGCAGCTGGTGAGAGTCGGCAGGCTGATGACAGACGAGGAGATCGGCGGCTACAACTTCTGGGGCGGCAACGGAGGGGGATGACCACTGGCAGATCGGTGGCGCGCTGGGGTTCTCGGTGCACGAGCTCAGGATGGAGCGGCTCCCAGGACGCGAGGGACAACCCCTGGTTCAAGAGCGGCGACTTCGGCAAGTGCAGCAGGGAGAGAAACGGGGGGGGGGGGAGGGAATGCCGCCAGTGCGGCGCCCCCCAAGAGGGCCAGGAGAGGAGCGGGGGGGAAGTGCCGCCAGTGCGGCGCCCCCCCCACGAGGACGGGCGAGCGGTTGTGGGACCAAATCCTGAGGAAGCCCCCGAGGCGGGGAACACCTCAGGCTCGTGGTCGCCACGTGCTGCTGGGCAAAATCCCGGGGAAGGCCAGATTGGGGAACAATCACCCCAGGTCCGAAGTCGCCACGTACTGAACGCGGCGAGGGCGACACTGAGAGAGACAAGGCAGGAGGAAGAGCAGATAGAGAGTAGCCACAGGACATGAGCAAGCCTCCCTACCCGCTGATGGCGGCGACGGACGAGACGAGATTCATGGCAAGGGAGGTAGCGTGAGGAGCGGCCTGGGGGCTCAGCCCAGGCAGTATGGGGCAGCCTGGGATATTTGTTTGGTCGGGCGCGTCCCCCATACAGGCGGATTCTGGGCGAAAAAAACAAAACAAAAAAATGATCAAAACAATGTATAGACAAATCGTTCCCTGACCAATTATTTGTGTTGCTCTGCTTGAACGTTCCTCCTCTAGAGGACAGGCCCGACTTAAGCCCAGCGATGGGCGCAGCAGACGCCCCACGCCCCAGCCTGGAGCGCAGGGGCAAAGGAATCACTACAGCGTCGGCAACGCCATCCGGCAGGACGGCGAACTCATCCTCTGGACGGCTGCTGGTGGCGCAGACCGAAGGCTTCGGCATGCCCGAGTACGTCCTGCTGCAGGAGCACTGGTGCGAGTCCCGGAGAGCGCTGGACCATGCGAGGAAGTGGGCGGGGAAGTTGATGATGTTGATGATGCTGCTGTCTCCAGCGCTGCTGGAACATCTGATATATTTCGTGACACGGCAAAATGTGGGCTCACCCCAGGCTTTCCGGACTGGGTGTGTGGCCTCGGTGGTAAGCGCTCTCAAGTCCACCGGCTATGGATCGAAAGGTTCTGTTACAACTGGCATGCTGCTGCAGACCCGAGAATGGAGTTGGAAGGCTCGGTTAGGAGCGGCACAGGCCAAAGGAGAGACTGCCTTGGAGGACACTGGCGGCGCGGCGGCACTGGCGACGACAGCGAGAGGCAGCAGAGACACCGAAGGAAGCATAGGTAAGCGGTGGACACACCGATGGGCAGCGGCAGAGGTGGACATCGGCTTGCAGGTCAGGGTGCTGGTCGTGGCCTGGAGGGAAACAAACAGCAGCTCGAGGAGATTGCGAGCGAGCTGAAGAGGAGAAGGGTCCCGTGGATCATCGGCGGCGGCGGGAACATGGACCCGAGCTGGATGGACGAATCGGTCCGCAGGGCTGGAGGGACGATGGCGTCCAGCGACGATGCGACAATGGGGGGCGAGGAGTTCGACTTCATCGTGGCGAACGAGCTGGCGTCCATGGTGAAAGAGGTGACGCTGCTGATGGGGCCTGCATGCAGCCCGCACGCGCGTGTAGGACTACGCCTCCAAGCGGGGTACGCAGGCACGCGAAGGAAAGGGTGTTCCGCGAGCCCTGAAGGTGGAGCTCACGCTGCCGCCGCCTGCGAGGGCGGCACGGGTGGGGAAGCCAGCCTGGAAAGCTGGGGAGACAGAGGAGGCGTGCCAGGAGTTGCACGAGCTCCACCAGATGGGCGAAGTGAGCGTGAGGAGAGCGGATGGTCCGAGGTTCGCCTGGCAGGACCTGAAGACCGAGTGGCAGCGAGGGCCAGAGAAGCGGTCCAGCACGGAGGTCAACAGGTGAGCGATACGGACGGCAGCGCTGGTCAAGCTCACGGCAGTAAGGAGCCATGGTTCGAGACCGATAGCAAGCAAGTACCAGGAGGGAAAGATGAAAAGGACTTTGAAAAGAGAGTTAAAAGTGTCTGAAATTGCTCAATGGGAAGCGAATGGAACCAGTGTTGCTTGGCAAGATTGTCGGGTGCATGACGCGCTTGATCGTCTCTTGCCTTGTGTGTCAACGCCAGTGGGTAGAACAGAGAAGAGAGCCCAGGAGAACCTGCAGAAGGAGGAGGAGGAGGCAGGCAGCTGGCCTAAGGAGGGCCCGTTGGCTGGAGGCTTGGCGCAGGGGCTCGAGACCGTGCCGAAGGACTCGAAGGAGAAGCAGCATGAGGTGATCGAGGCGGCACAGCAGGAGCTAGCCAAGAGGAATGAGGAAGACATCGAGGAGGCGAACGCAAGCTGGAGGAGCTGGGTGCAGAAAGCCATGGAGGAGGCTGCAGGCTCTGCGGCGTTCAGGTTCCTGAGACAGGGAGGGGTGTGCGAGGTGGACGGCGACCCAGAGGTGGACGGAGTCCCGCAGGCAGGCATGGCAACCATGGACGTGGTGCTGACAGCCTGGATGCCGCTGCGGGCCAAGGAGAGCAGGGGGAGAGAGGCGCACCCAAGGACTGGAGGAGGGGCCAGGCGCTGGAGCCGGTCAACGGGGAGCGGATCAGGGGCGTGCTCAAGAAGTACCCGAGAGCCGCGGGGCTCGGCTGGGACAAGCTACACCCCAGGCTGTTGGAGCAGCTCCCCGAAAGCTACAGCGACAGCTTGGCGGACATACTCAACGAGTGGGAGGCGGACGCGACGCCCATGGCGATCTGGAGTATGGTTAAAGATGTTCTTGGCGAAACCAGAAAGGGGAGTTCGACCGATCCACCTGCTGGGCTTCGCCATGAGGTTGTGGAGCAGGCTCAGGCAGCCGTTGGTAGCCAAGTAGGAGCAGGAGCTGTCGCACCAGGAGCACTTCTGGGGGACCACCGACACGCTGTGCGACATGGCGGGGATGATCTCCAACCTGGTGGCGTGTGATGCGCGGAAGGCAGGGTTCGCATACGGGGCGGGGCTCATGAACCTGGCCAAGTTCTATGAGCACGTGTTCCACCAGGTGCTCAGCAGGAGGGTGAGAAAGTGGATTTCCCCGTGGAGTTGCTGAGGCTGCTGTGCATCAGCTACAGGGACATCATCAGCGAGGAGCTGGAGGTGAACGGGACGCTGGCGGCAGGGTGCTCGTGCGCGAGGGGGCTAGCGAAGGTCATGATGCACAGGACCCTCGCCACGCTGGCAAAGACGTACCCCCTGGTCAGGTACCAGAACGTGGTGAATGACGTGATGCTGCAGGCGATTGGCGAGGCGGAGCAAGTGAGGCAGCAGGTGAGGCAGCAGCTCCCGCAGGCGCTCATCCGCACGATCGACAGCTTTGAGGCGCTGGACCTGGTGGTGTCGCGGGGCAAGACGAAGTCTTTGACAAGCGATGCGGACATGGCGAAGCTGATGCAGGAGGAGGTGGCACAGGCCGGCTCGAGGTTGGAGAGGGCGGCATCGGGTCGAAACCTCGGGTGCGACTCGAGTTCCGGCATGTGGAGGCGCACACGAGAGGACAAAAAGATGGCGAAGGCAGCAAAGGCAGCGAGGAGGGTGCAGGTGCTGAGGGCCGCAGGAGCGACCAAGGCAGGGCACCTTCAGAGGAGCAGTCCGACGGCGACCGCCTTGTGAGGTGCGGGGGTCACAGGAGTGGCAGATCACAAGGTGCACCAGCTCAGGATCCAGGCGGCGAAGGCAGAAGGCAGGCTGCCCAAAGGAGCGGTGGCCTATCTGAGGTTGAGGGCGACGGCATAAGGAGGGAGGATGGACCCTGGAGTGCTGGCGGCTGCTGAGGCGGCCAGGGCTTGGGCGATGTGTGCAGCAGCGCCCACCGCAGCGTTGCCGCTGGCGGTGATGAGCAGCTGCTGGAACGACAGTGCCAGGCTGCTCAGACGTAAGCGGCCATGGGATGCAGCGACGAGCCCAGCGGACGCCCTGCGACTCACCATGGCGAGATCTGGCATCCAGACGAGCACCGCCTTCACACTCAAGATGCCGACGGGGGAGGAGGTGAAGATGAAGCGGCTGGGACCAGCGCTGGTCAGCGACACGGTGGCCAGGAGGGCGTGCTGGGAGGCGTCCTCATCCGCCTATTCCTCCTCCTCCCTCGTCCCTCCTCCCTCCTCCCTCCTCCCTCCTCCCCCCTTCCCACCTGCTGCCCCTCCTCCCCCCCCCTCCGCCTCCTCATCCTCCTCCGATTACTCCTTCATCCTCTCCGTCGTGGATAAGACAGGTTCCCCAGCCCTTGGTTACTCTGTGTGCTCCCTCACTTCCCTGATCACTTCCATTCGCCTGGGCATTCGCTGGTCGAGAACCAGCAACATCAGCAGCAACAGAGCAGAAGCAGTACCAGCAGGAGCAAGAACACCAGCAGCCACACATGCAACCTTCACCACAAAAAAAACTCCCAATTCACCGTTGTTGCCCGCTCGGTTTCACTATGTCTTCTTCCTTTCTTCCGTCAGCTCCCCTACGCATCGTTTGTGGATGGGCTGGTGGGGATACGCGTAGCGTCTAGAATTTCATATGGTTTCTGAGTATCGTTGAAACTCCCCCTGGGGCTTCGGCCCAGCGCGCCGCGCTGGCCACCCGGAAAACCTACAGGTCGTCGGTGTTCGGCTCCTGGATGGCCTCCATGACAGCTAAGATGGCTCCAAGTTCGCCCAAAATGGTCCAAGCTGGCTTCCAAGACGGTCCAAGAGGGTCCAAGGTGCCTCCAAGTCCGTCGAAGAATCCACCAAGACGGCCAAGGATGGCCTCAGGATGGCACAAGATGGCCCAAGAGGCCCCCAAGAAGCCTCCAACACGGTCCAAGAGGCCTCCAAGGGGTCCTCCAGGTTTCCTTGGGTTTTTGAAGGGTTTTGCCATGTGCTTCTTTTCGGTTGTGTGACGGCGAAAGACGGCCTAAGAGGCCTCCAAGATCGCCCCCACAGCATCAAAGAGTCCTCCAAGATGGCCCCAGAACAGCACAAGTGACCTCCAAGACTGCCCAATGGGAGCTCAAGACGATCCCAGACAGCCTCCAAGACATCCAAGGTGGCCTCCAAGACGGCCCTGAGGCGCCCCAAGAGGGCCCCAAGAAGGCCTAGAGAGGCCCCCAAGACGGCTTCCAACTGCGTCAGACGGACCAGGAATGCCCCAAAACTGCCAAAGAGGCCCCCAGGGAGATCCCAAAGGCGCACAAGAGGTCCAAGGAGGCCCCCAAAAAGGCCTCCACGAGGTCCCCGAGGAGCTCCCAGGAGGCCCCGAGTGCTCCACGAGATTCCCAAAGAGGCCTCCTCCTCCTCCTCCTCCTCCTCCTCCTCCTCCTCCTCCTCCTGCTCCTGCTCCTGCTCCTGCTCCTGCTCCTGCTCCTGCTCCTGCTCCTCCTCCTCCTCCTCCATCCTCTCCTCCCCTCCTCCTCCCTTTCCTCCGCCTCCTCCTCCTCCTCCTCCTCCTCCTCCTCCTCCTCCGCCTCCTCCTCCTCCTCCCTCCTCCTCCTCCTCCTCTTCGCTCCCCTCCTCCTCCTCCTCCTCTCCTCCTCCTCCTCCTCCTCAGCATCAGCATCCGCATCACATCATCAGCATCAGCATCAGCGGCATCATCATCATCATCATCATCCTCATCATCATCATCATCAATCATCATCATCATCATCATCATCATCATCATCAATCTCATCATCATCTCAATCATCATCCTCATCATCATCAGCATCATCACATCATATCATCATCATCATCATCATCATCACATCATCATGCATCAGCATCATCATCAGCATCATCATCATAATCATCATCATCAGCAGCATCAGCTCATCTCATCCATCATCCTCAGCATCAGCATCAGCATCAGCATCATCATCATCATCATCATCATCTCATCATCATCATCATATCATCATCAACACCATCATCATCATCATCACCATCACCATCATCCTCATCCTGTCACTCATCCTCAACATCATCATCATCTCATCCTCTCCTCATCCTCATCATCATCATCATCAGCATCAGCATCAGCATCAGCTCATCATCATCCTCATCCTCATCCTCATCCTCATCAGCATCATCATCATCATCCTCATCATCATCATCATCAGCATCATCATCTTCATCAGCAGCATCATCAGCATCATCAGCATCATCATCAGCATCGGCATCAGCATCACCATCAGCATCAGCAGCAGCGTCATCATCAACAGCATCACCATAATCATCATCAGCATCATCAGCATCACCATCAACATCGTCAGAATCATCATCATCATCCTCATCATCATCATCATCATCCTCATCAACATCATCAGCATCAGCATCGGCATCAGCATCAGCATCATCATCATCATCACCATCAACACAATCAGAAACATCAGCATCATCCTCATCATCATCATAAGGCTCATCATGTGCAGCATCATCATCATCTGCATCCTTAGCATCATCAGCAGCATCGGCATCATCATCATCAGATGCATTAGCATCAGCATCAGCAGCATCATCATCAGCATCGTCATCGTCATCATCGTCATCATCAGCATCCTCATAGGAACAGCATCATCATCATCATCATCACCACCACCACCACCACCATCGGCATCATCATCGTAAGCATCAGCATCAACAGCATCATAAACAGCATCATCGTCATCACCATCATCATCATCATCAGCAACATCAACACCATCAGCATCATCATGATCAGCAGCATCATCGTCATCCTCGTTAGCAGCATCATCATCACCATCAGCATCACAACCACCACCACAATCAGCAGCATCAGCATCATCATCCTCATCATCTTCATCCTCATCAGCATCATCATCACCATCATCATCACAATCAGCATCAGCGTCAGTATCATCATCATCAGCATCATCATCATCATCATCAACATCATCAGCAGTATCATCCTCATCCTCATCCTCAGTATCTTCCTGTTCTTCCCCGTCCCCCTCCTCCTCCGAGTGTTCCCCGAAGGTTTCCAGAGCGGCTGGGGGGTGTATAATACGATAGCTTGGGCCGTCCTGGGGCCAAACGTTTGGCCACAGGGGCGCTTCCCGAGAAGGCAGGGGGCGGCGGTGATTCGCCGTAGGCGTCTTCGATAATCAACATCGCCCTTATCATCCTCATCGCCAACCTCAGTGTCACCGCAATCAGTATCACCGTTTTCAACATCACCATCAGCATCGGCCCTCCTCTCCCATCATTGCTCTGCCTGCTCCTCCCTGACACATTTCCCCCCACGATCCCTCGTCATCATCGGCCTTCGAATCCTGGTACTCATCCACATCCTGTTCCATCTGCTACTCCTCCTCCTCCTCCCGTCCTCCTTCTCCCTCCTCCGCTTCCGCTTTCCAATTCTGGCCCCCGCGATCGAGCTGGGCAATGTGGACGGGAGTCCTTCAGGACGCGTATGGCCCTCGCGAAGTGGACCTGGGAACAGCGCCAGGGCGAGCTGCCGAGGAGAGGAGAGATAGAGAGAGAGAGAGAGCGACGCCGAGGGAGATAGGGGCAGAAAGGGAGAGAGAGAGAGAGAACAAAAAAAGAGAGAGAAAACGAGAGAGCGCGAGAGACGGATTGAGGGAGAGAGGGATGTGTATGTATATAGATATATATTATGAATAATAATGATAATCATCATCATAATGCTAATAATGAAAATAATAATAGTAAGAAGAATAATAATAATAAGAAGACACGTATAATAGTGATACTAATAATAAGAATAAGAATGATAAAAATAACAACAATAATAATGAAGATAATGAAGAAGATGACAATACGAATCATAACACCAATCCTCACACCAATAAGAATACATAATTATAATAATAACGCTAATCGCAATCATAAGCTACAGTGCCTCCTGGCACGTTGAGGCGTGGAAGATTGCCTGTCAGGCAGGGCTCTTGCAGTCTTCTGCTGGATCCCCGCCCACCCCTCGCGTCGCGCCCATGTGCGTGCACCGCTCCTGCTCCCGGGGTCCCTGGGCGGCCATGGCGTCTCCCTGCGGGTCACGAAGGCCGCTAATACGGCACAGGAAGGCGATCAGAGCCGCCAGGACGGCCCGACGTGCTTCTAAAAGGGCCTGGATTGGCTCCAAGAGGGTCCAAGATGGAATCATGACGGCCCAAATCTGCCTCAAGATGGCTCAAGGCCCCAAGACGGCTCAGGATGTTTCAAGAGGAGCCTCAGGAGAGCCTGACGAAGTACAAACCAATGGTTGCCCTGAAGTTGGTCACTGCTTTGGGGATTATCACGCTTCCGGACTTCTGTCAGCTCAAGACGGCCAAGGAGGCCTTTAAGACTGCCTCAAGAGGGCCCATGAGAGCTCCAACATGAATTCAAAAGCGCCCAAGACGGCCTCAAGAAGGCCCACCAGGGCGCATAGACTGCCCAAGGCGGCCCCAAGAGAGCCTCGAGGTGGCCCAAGAAGTATCCAGAGGGACCCAAAACCGACTGAGAGAGCCCCTCGACATTCCCCAAACGGCCCCGAGCGACCCTCCAGACGGCCCAGAGAGCCCCAAGACGGCCTGAGGAAGGCTGAAGACAGCCCAAGAGGGCCCCGAGACGGCCGAAGAGAGATCCAAGACGGTTTTTTTGCAATCCTTCTTGCAATCCTTCGTTTTTTTGCAATCCTTCGTTTTTTTTGCAATCCTTCTTTTTTTGCAATCCTTCGTTTTTTTGCAACCCTTCATTAGCACTCCAAGACGGCCCCAAGATGGCCGAAAGCTATCTGGCAGGGGCTTCTGGAATCTTCTGCGGGGCCCACCCACCGCGCTCGCCGCGCCGACTTGCGTGCACCACCCCTACTCCTGGAGGTCCCTGGGCGGCCATGGCGTCTCCGACTCCCTTGGGGTCGCGAAGGCAGCCAAGACGGCCGAAGAAGGCCACCAAAGCCGCCAAGACGGCCGAACATGCCTCGACAAAGGCCTGAAGCTGGCAAGGTGGCGGGACTTGCCGTGGGCAGCTGGATAGTAAGCACATGGGCGAAAACAATGCATACATGTTCGCCAGCACGGACCTCAAGCAGTGAGTCACTGCACTCTGGATGTGTAGGCTATGTGGTGCAACACGTGTGGCGTATGGCGTGTGGTGCAAGCTACGTGGTGCAAGCTTCGCGGTGTAAGCTATGTGGTGCAATAGATGTAGAGCAAGCTATGCTGTACGAGCTATGGTATGGAAGCTATGTGGTGTGGGATATGTTGTGCAAGCGACGCGGTGCAAGCTAGGTGATGCAAGCTGTGAGGTAGGAGCTATGGTGCAAGCTCTGTGGTGTAAGCTGTGTGATCCGAAACGTGTGGTGCAAGCTGCGTTTTGCAAAAGGTGTAAGCTGTGTGGTGAAAAATGGTGTGCGGTACGTGCGAAAGTCATGCTAAGACAGGTCTTGCCCTATTAGCGTTTAATGGTGTCTATATAAGTGCCCATACGTGCGCATATCCGCCATCGTGCCGCTGGGCACGGAGTGGGCGTGTCCTCAGGTCCTTTGCCCAATTCGCTGGGCCTCAATCCTCATTCCTGAGGAGTCTCTTAGGGGCCCGGACATCGAATTCTCACATCCTTTGGGGCTTGTCGCTTGCCCCTTGGGACTTGTCGCGGCCTGTCGCATGAGTTTGTCGGGCCCACGAGGGCCCCAAGACGGGCCAAGAGGGCCCCAAGAGGCACCCAAGACGGACCAAAAGAAGCCCGAGACGCCGAAAGATCGCCCCAAGACGCCGAAGATAGCCCCAAGACGGCCGAAGAGACCACCAAAACGCCTTCAGAGACGTCCAAGAGGCCTCCCAAGAGGGCCCCAAGAGGCCAAAATCATTCACTTCCTTTGGTGTTTGAAGGATTTTCGCATTCTCGCCTTTGGGTTCCCGACGCCCCCAGACGGCCCTGGAGGCTCTCAAGACCGTCCCGAGATGACCCAAGAGGCCTCCAAGAGGGCCCAAAAACGGCCCAAGGGGGCACCAAGACGGCCCAAGAGGCGCCCAAAACGGCCCAAGAGGGCCCCAAGACTGTCTCACGAGGGGCCCAAGAGAGGGATTACTAACCGAAATCTGAGCCTTCCGCCCCAAGAGATCCCTAGGAGGCCTCAAGAGGCGCCCAGGAGGCCCCAAGAGGTCCGGAAGAGGCCCCCAAGAGGCCCCAAGAGGCCCCAAGAGGCCCAAAAGCGGGCCCAAGAGGCCCCCAAACGGCCCCAAAGAGGAGTCCCAACTGCCTCCAAGAGGGGCCCCCCCACGAGATCCCAACAAACATCCAATAGGCATCATCCCCAAACCCAGGCACGGTGGCGGGATGGGCCGAAGGCCATTAGAACTGGGCCTGCACGGGAACGGAAAGAGCGCACTCAGCAATTTGCTCGAACATGTTCATGGCATCATTCGCCTCTCGAGTCTTGGTATTAAGAATATTTTGCGCCGACACTCACTCTTCGGAGCCTTGTTACTCCTGTTCCTCCAGCTCCTGCTTCCGCTCCTCCTTGTTCACCAACCAAATCGAAAATCGACGTTCCTCCTCCTCCTTCTTTTGCTCTTTCTTGCTCATCCTCTTCCTCCTCATCCTCCTCCTCCTCCTCCTCCTCTGCTCCTCCTCTGCTTGCTCCTCCTCTGCTTGCTCCTCCTCCACAATTACTCAATATGAATACTACTCTCCCTCTTCCCCCGATGGCGGCCTGAAAATAGCCGACCCCCCCCCCGCGTCCTGCTTTTTTACACAGGATTCCCGGGAGTTGGGTTTTCGACTGCATTTTTTTCTAAATGCTGCTCTCGCCGAGGCGCCGGCCTCATTTTCGGGCCCCGCTCGTTCCGAATCGTGCTCCCGCTGCAGCGCTGGCCTCATTTCCGTGCTTCCGCTCGTTCCGAGTCGTGCTCCCGCTGCAGCGCTGGCCTCATTTCCGCGCTTCCGCTCGTTCCGAATCGTGCTCCCGCTGCAGCGCTGGCGTCATTTCCCGTGCCATGCCACAGCACACGCGCACACACGCACACACACACACACACACACCACCACCACCACCACCACCACCACCACCACCACCACCACCACCACCACAACCACGCACACACGCACGCACGCACCACCACAATACACCCAACACGCATCGCACGCAACGCACGCACGCACGCGCCACCACCACACCCACTATTCCGCGATAGAGAAATCAGCGCCATGGTAAGGGAGGGGAGGAGGGGTAGGACGTCAGAATGACGCGAGCGCCCGCACTGCTTTTCCCTCCTCCTCCTCCTCCTCCTCCTCCTCCTCCTCCTCCTCCTCCTGCTCGTCCTCCTCCTCTCCTCCTGCTCTTCCTCCGCCTCCATCCTCATCCTCTTCATCCTCCTCTTCCCTCCTCCTCATGCTGCTCCTCCTGCTGTTCCTCCTCCTCCTCCTCCTCCTCCTCCTCCTCCTCCTCCTCCGCCTCCTCCTCCTCATCATCATCATCATCATCCTCCTCCTGTTCGTGGCGCTCATCCTCTTAAGAGCTTTTTTACGCCAGTCGTCGTTATTCATGAGGAGCCATGGTGTTGTGAGCTTATGACGTCACTGTGAGCTCTTGGAAACCTCTTTTATGTGGCGTATCCGAGCCTTCTTGGGGGTAGTTTTAGGGTCATTTGGGGCCGTCGTGGGGCCCGTTGGGGCCGACTTAGGGCACTTTCGGGGCGTCTTGGAAGGCTTTGGCCGTTTTGGTACTCTCTTGGGGGTCTCTTCGGGCCCTCTTGGGAATCTCTTAAGGCCCTCTTGGGGCTCTCTTGGGAGCCTCTAGACCCTCTTGGGCCGTCTTGGGTTCCTCTTGGGAGCCTCTTTGGGCCCTCTTGGGCCGTCTTGGGGCCTTCACGGGAGCCTTGAGGCGATATCCTGGGCCTCTTGGGCCGTCGTGGGCATCGAGCCGCCCAGAGGGCCATCCCACTTGATGAATATCGAGGCCGGAGGGCGATTAGACTTTTCGCCCGCCCGTCCCCCCCCCCCCCCCTGGACCCCCACCCTTGGGCTGACGCCCTACCAAGAACGGACCCGCGTGAACGCACTGTCCGTCACCTGGGCCGGCACGGGAACGGAAAGAGCGCTGCAGCAACCTGCCCGAGAGGGCTCATGGCACCCTTCGCTCTTGGGAGCCTTGGTGGTAAGAGTTTGTAACGCCACCGTTCGCTCTTGGGAGCCTTGGTGCTCCGAGACTTTTACGTTGCCGCTCGCTCTTGGAAACCTTGGTGTTGAGAGTTGTGTATCTCGCCGTTTGCTCTTGGGAGCCTTGGTGTGCACGAGTTTGTCACGTCACCGTTCGCTCTTGGGAGCCTTGGTGGAAAAAGTTTGTTACGTCACCACTCTCTGTTGGGAGCTCTGGTGTTCAGAGATGTTTACGTTGCCGCTCGCTCTTGGGAGCCTTGGTGTGACCATCTTTTTGCGTCACCTTCCCGCTTGGCAGCCTGGGTGTGAAGAGTTTCTTACGTCTCATCCTC